TGTGTTTTTGTGCTGTGCCAATTTTCAAGCAGTTTGCTTAATTTTGAGTTTAATCCGGATTATAAGGCAGCGCTATAATCCGGGTTATATTTTTGTTTCTGGTATCGCTTTATTTTTGATGCCAAATCACTCCTGGGACACTTTGCACTGTAGTTAAGTGCTTATAGAAACTATTTTTGTTTAATAAAGCTGTGTTTGAACTCTTATTCTGTGTTTGGCTTTAATTACGGCTTCTGGGTCTTGACAAATGTGTTGGCACAAATACTATTGTTGTTCATTCGTTCAGTCGTCTCCGACTCTTCGTGACCTCATGGACCAGCCCACGCCAGAGCTCCCTGTCGGCCGTTACCACCCCCAGCTCCTTCAAGGTCAGTCCAGTCACTTCAAGGATGCCATCCATCCATCTTGCCCTTGGTCGGCCCCTCTTCCTTTTGCCTTCCACTTTCCCCAGCATAATTGTCTTCTCTAGGCTTTCCTGTCTCCTCATGATGTGGCCAAAGTACTATACAAATACTATACGGTGCACAAATCTAATAGATGATAACACTTTACAGAAAAGATGGAAGTCACCTTCTTGAGGTCAGGGGTCTGCAGGAACTCTGACGGCCTCGTATGGGTCATGCCAACGTTGTTCACTGTGGAAAGACCAAAAGGCACACACTTGCATTGGTAAAAAACTTGGAGAGGTTTTTGATGGAAATACACTTAGAACAGACATGGGCAAACTTGGGCCCTCCAGGTGTTTTGGACTTCAACTCTCACAATTCCTAACAGCCTACCGGCTGTTAGGAATTGTGAGAGTTGAAGTTTAAAACACCTGGAGGGCCCAAGTTTGCCCATGCCTGATGTGGTTTGGCACCACTGCTCAAGCAGGGAGCTTTGAGATGGTAGAACAGAAGCTCTCCGAAGCTCTAGCTGCTCTTACTGCCTATTACAGGGAAAACCAGCTGATCCCTAATCCATCTAAAACACAGACATGGGCTTTTCATCTCAAGAACAGACAAGCACCTCTAGCTCTGAGGATTATTACCTGGGAAGGAATCCCACTGGAGCATGGCAGCGCACCCAAATCCCTCGGAGTCACTCTGGACCGTGCTCTGACCTACAAGACGCACTGCCTGAACATCAACCAAAAAGTGGGTCATACGAAAGCTGACTGGCACAACCTGGGGATCACAACCAGACACAGTGAAGACATCCGCCCTTGCGCTATGCTACTCTGCTGCTGAGTACGCATGCCCAGAGTGGAACACATCTCACCACGCTAAAACAGTGGATGTGGCTCTTAATGAGACATGCCGCATTATCACGGGGTGTCTGCGCCCTACACCACTGGAGAAATTACACTGCTTAGCCAGTATTGCACCACCTGACATCCGCCGGGAAGTAGCAGCCAAGGGTGAAAGGACCAAGGCAGAGGCATCTCCAGCTCATCCCTTGTTTGGGTATCAGCCAGCATGTCAATGACTAAAATCTAGAAATAGTTTTCCAAGATCTGCAGAGACACTCGCTGGAACACCTCAGCAAGCGAGAGTCCAAGAGTGGCAGGCTCAAACCCAGAATACCCAATGAGAGACTCCCCCCTGGGCACACAGAAGACTGGGCGACTTGGAGGGTGCTGAACAGACTGCGCTCTGGCACCACGAGATGCAGAGCCAACCTCAAGAAATGGGGCCACAAAGTGGAGTCCACAACATGCGAGTGCGGAGAGGAGCAAACCACTGACCACCTGCTGCAATGCAACCTGAGCCCCGCCACATGCACAAGGGAGGACCTCCTTGCGGCAACACCAGAGGCACTCCAAGGGGACAGATACTGGTCAAAGGATATTTAACCAACTACCAAGCTTGCATTTTTTTTATTTTGTCTTGTTGTTTGTTTTGTTCTGTTAGAAATGTAATACAATTGACTGGATGCCCTGACACGACAAATAAATAAACCACTTTCATTGCCATCCAAGAACCCTTTCAAGGAATCCATTCTAGTTGGGAGTCAATAAAGGGGAATCCCAGCTCTCAAACAGAAAAAGATAGAGGTATTATTTACCCAAAACGCCAATCTCCAAGCCTTGCAGAGCTTCTTGGATGGATTCGTAGATTTCGGAGCCTCCGGTGAAATTTGCCTGGATCACTTTGGTGCTCCGGCCGTAGAGTTGCTCTGCAGAAAAGGGAAAAAAAGAGATGGACGTGCCTCAGTTTCCCCATTTTAAAAAAAAGGAGCCATAAGTGTCAAAAGGAGCAAACCTAAATGCAGCAAAAACTCCTCCACTTATCAAATGCATCTACACTGTAGACTACAGTGGCCGGGAGGGCCTTTGCACAATTAAGACTCGTGCGTCAACTGCGACTGTACCTCATGAAGGCGGATCTGGCCAGGGTGGTCCATGCCTTAGTCACCTCCAGATTGGACTACTGTAATGCACTCTACATGGGGTTACCCTTGAAAACGGCCGGGAAATTTCAACTGGTTCAACGAGCGGCGGCCAGGTTGTTAACTGGTGCTCCTTGTCAGGATTTATTGAGTTAAGTATGTGTTTTAAATGTGCTTCTATGTATTGCAAATATGGATGCCACTGTGAATGGAAAATGCTGTGTAGAAATGTTTAGAGTTGAGGCTGTGATTATGTGAACTTGAGAAAGTAAGATAAGCTTTGTTCTGGTGAGAATCTGAAGGGAGTTGCCAGCTTCAAGCAAGAGAAGATAAGCAGATGTGAAGAAGTGTTTTGGCTTTCGGTTTTGACTAGTTCTCTTCCTGTATGTTCCTCGCTGAAGAAAGATGTGTTCGCTGTGTGTGCTTAGTAAAACTTAGTTTTCTTTTGAAACTCAAAGCTTGCAGAGTCCTTATTTGCAAATCAGTGTCTGTTTAATCTAGCATTCCTTCCGCTGGCCAGCGTCAATCTCTGACACTCCTTACAGGGAGCGGTCAACCCTTCTGTTTAAGGAGCTCCATTGGTTGCCGTTCATTTACCGGTCCCAATTCAAGGTGCAGGTGCTTACTTACAAAGCCTTAAACGGTTTGGGACCCGCCTACCTGCGTGACCACATCTCTGTGTACAAACCCACACGATCTCTTCGATCATCTGGAGAGACTCTACTCACGCTCCCACCTGCATCGCAAGTACGATTGACGTGGACAAGGGAGAGGGCCTTCTCGGTGGTGGCCCCTCAATTCTGGAACTCACTCCCCAAGGACATCAGGCATGCCCCAATTCTGGCAGTCTTTAGGAGGAGCCTGAAAATGTGGTTGTTCTAGTGTGCAGTTAAGATAGTGAATTAATGAGCAGGCAAGAACGCTTAGATTGGAGGGTTAGGGGGAGTTCTCGCTTAGCTAGTAAGAAAGAAGCCAAGTCAGCCGAAGGTCATCGCAATGCTTTCATGTTAGCAAAGGGTATAGGTTTCTGGTTGACAAAGGAAAATTGCCAGTTCAACATGGCTCTTTCCATGCAAACTCCTATGGATTAATCTGGGCTTTAAGCAGCACTCTTTTGGCTTCCCAGAATAAGGAAACTCCCAGCAATATGTCCCTAAATGCACTTTATCAGTGATCTAGGATTGTCTGCACGCTCCATCCCTCTCCTATCCTTGTTATATGTCACCTGGTCACGCCCAGCATTATTTAAAAAAATTTAATTAATACATTTGGCCCAGCCATAGCTTTTAAAACGCCGCTGTGTTATTGCTAATGTTGATTGCTTACTTTCTGTTTATGAGTTCATTTATTGGGTTGTTGTAGGTTTTTTCGGGCTATATGGCCATGGTCTAGAGGCATTCTCTCCTGACTTTTCGCCTGCATCTATGGCAAGCATCCTCAGAGGTAGTGAGGTCTGTTGCAACTAGGAAAATGGAGACAGCAAAGCCTAGAGAAGACAATTATGCTGGGGAAAGTGGAAGGCAAAAGGAAGAGGGGCCGACCAAGGGCAAGATGGATGGATGGCATCCTTGAAGTGACTGGACTGACCTTGAAGGAGCTGGGGGTGGTGACGGCCGACAGGGAGCTCTGGCGTGGGCTGGTCCATGAGGTCACGAAGAGTCGGAGACGACTGAACGAATGAACAACAACATATATACACACACAAATACATACATACATACATATATATACACACACACACATATCTGAAATGTTAAGTCTTGTTAATCTGGCCTATATAGAATCTATCTATTAGGCCTGGGTAACAACGGAAAAATTTGTTTCTAAAATCAATTTGTATTTGGGGTTTTTTTTGTTTCGATATTTAAAATAATTACAAAATTTTCCTTTTAAAAAGTTCGATATTTACGAAATTTCGTAAATGGTAAAAAATTAACGAATCGATTTCCGAAACAATAACGAATCGATTCGTTAATGGCGGACGCGACCGCGAAATACGCTAAAAAACCTCCCAAACCTTCTGAAGCTTCCCTCTCCCTCTGTTGTTGACTGTTGGTGTGATATTATAATTTTTTTTCACTAATTAAACCATAAAACTGGCCCAGACATGCGGAAATAATAACGAAACGACCTCAAAACAATAACGAAACGAATACAATATCGAAATACGAAGCATTTACAAAACGTTTTTGAAAATTCGTTTTTTTAAATAATTGCTCCAGAATGGTTTGTTATCGTTTTGTAATTGAAAAAATTAACGAATTATTAACGAATTACGAATTAACGAAACGAAACCGCCCAGCCCTATTATATATACATTCTCTAATCACCTCTCAAAAAAAGATTGCTCCAGGCACTGTTAGGCTATCAAATGCTAATCAAGGTGGTCAGTTGAAACATTCACACCTAGCTCCAGCAGACAAGAGTCCTTTGTCCCACCCTGGTCATTCCACAGATATATAAACCCATTTCCTAGTTCCAACAGACCTTACTACCTCTGAGGATGCTTGCCATAGATGCAGGCAAAACGTCAGGAGAGAATGCCTCTAGACCATGGCCATATAGCCTGAAAAAACCTACAACAACCCAGTGATTCCGGCCATGAAAGCCTTCGACAATACAGTTTATTTATTGTTTGTATTCCTGTTGCTATTGTTTTTATTGTTGTTTTGTGGGCTCGGCCTCATGTAAGCCGCACCGAGTCCCTTGGGGAGATGGTAGCAGGGTACAAATAAAGTTTTATGTATTATTATTATTATTATTATTATTATTATTATTATTATTATTATTATTATTATAGAGCAATGAATTTATGCAGCCGACTAAAAAATGTACAGAATGCATCCTGAAAGTTGCTTCCAACACTTTCCATTTCCGCCTGCTTTTCTGCAGTACATCTTTCGCAAATGCAATATTGGGAGAATATTCGGACACCGAAATGATTTGCAGAGCCAATGTTAACAATAAAGCCGATATGTCAATCCTTGTCTCACCAATTTCATCAGCCACTTGCTTCAGCTTTTCCATGGAGCGGCTGACCAGGACGACATCGAGACCTTTCTTGGCAAGCTGGAAAGGGAAAAACAGAGTTGGAAAAGTCATGGCGGCATCCACACTGAAGAAATAATACATTTTGACACCACTTTAATTGCCAGTGCTCAAGGCCATGGAGTCCTGGGAGCTGTAGTTTTTCAAGGGCTTGTGCACTGAACATGGCTCTTAAAATGGTATCAAACTACCTTCATCTTGCAGTGTAGAATAAGCCTATATGTACTTTGCTCTTGAGGGAGAGTTCAATATTTGCAGTGGTATACAATAATAATAATAATCATCATCATCATCATCATCATCATCATCATCATCTATATAAATAAAAATGTAATGTTAGTTCGTGCTACCATCAGAACTCAAAAACCACTGGGGGAATTGACACCAAATTTGGACACAAGACACCTAACAGTCCAATTTATGTCCTCCACTCAAAAAAATTGATTTTGTCATTTGGGAATTGTCGTTGCTGGGATTTATAGTTTACCTACAATCAAAGAGCATTCTGAACTCCACCAATGATGGAATTGGGCCAAACTTAGCACACAGGGCTCCCATGACCAACAGAAAAAAACTGGAAAGGTTTGGTGGACATTGACCTTGAGTTTGGGAATTATAGTTCACCCACATCCAGAGAGCACTGTGGACTCAAACAATGATGGATCTGGACCAAACTTGGCACGAATATTCCATATGCCCAAATATGAACACAGATGGAGTTTAAGGGAAATAGACCTTGACATTTGGGAGTTGTAGTTGCTGGGATTTATAGTTCACCTACAATCAAAGAGCATTCTGAACTCCACCAATGATGGAATTCAACCAAACATGGCATACAGGACTTCCATGACCAACAGAACACACTGGAAGGGTTTGGTGGGCATTGACCTTGAGTTTGGGAGTTGTAGTTCACCTACATCCAGAGAGCACTGTGGACTCAAACAATGATGGATCTGGACCAAACTTGACACAAAAATTCCATATGCCTAAATATGAACACAGATGGAGTTTGGAGGAAATAGACCTTGACATTTGGGATTTGTAGTTACTGGGATTTATAGTTCACTACAATTAAAGAGCATTCTGAAACCCACAAACAGAAATGGGGCAAACTTCCCACACAGAACCCCCATGACCAACAGAAAATACTTAAGGCCATCCAGTCCAACTCTCTTCATCAGGGCAAGAAAATGTACTCAGAGCCATCCAGTCATAAATATAGATAGATAGATATGATTCACACACAAACACACAGATATAGTATCATAGATTTGAAACAGACCCTTAAAGAAGGACTATGATATGTTGCATATTCCAGGGTAGGCAAACCAGACACTCTCCACATCAACACTGACAAAGAAACAACAAGAAATACTGTTTACTCACAAGCAAAAAGGAATTACATATATTAGAAACCAACACTTTCTCATTACTTTATTTTCCAGATCACCAGACTGGGCCACAGCAACGCGTGGCAGGGGAGAGCTAATAATAATAATAATAATAATAATAATAATAATAATAATAATAATAGTTCTGGCAGCCCAAGAACAAGCCATTAGAACCAAGGCCATCAAAGCCAGAATTGAAAAGGGAACGACAGATCCCAAGTGTAGATTCTGCAAGGAAACAGATGAAACAATAGATCCCATCCTCAGCTGCTGCAAGAAGATCATGGATGGACTCCAAGCAGAGGCACAACACCCTTGCTCAGATGATCCACTGGAACTTGTGCCACAAATACCATCTGCCTGTGACAAAGAACTGGTGGGCTGAACATGGCTCTTAAATTGGTATCAAACTACCTTCATCCTGCGGTGTAGAATAAGCCTTTATGTACTTTGCTCTTGAGGGAGAGTCCAATATTTGCACTGGTATATAATAATAATAATAATAATAATAATAATAATAATAATAATAATAATAACAACAGTTCTGGCAGCCCAAGAACAAGCCATTAGAACCAATGCCATCAAAGCCAGAATTGAAAAGTCAACAGATCCCAAGTGTAGACTCTGCAAGGAAGCAGATGAAACAATAGATCCCATCCTCAGCTGCTGCAAGAAGATTGCGCAGACAGACTACAAGCAGAGGCACAACACCGTTGCTCAGATGATTCATTGGAACTTGTGCCACAAATACCATCTGCCTGTGACAAAGACCTGGTGGGCTGAACATGGCTCTTAAAATGGTATCAAACTACCTTCATCCTGCGGTGTAGAATAAGCCTTTATGTACTTTGCTCCTGAGGGAAAGTCCAATATTTGCACTGGTATACAATAATAATAATAATAATAATAATAATAATAATAACAACAGTTCTGGCAGCCCAAGAACAAGCCATTAGAACCAATGCCATCAAAGCCAGAATTGAAAAAACGACAGATCCCAAGTGTAGATTCTGCAAGGAAACAGATGAAACAATAGATCCCATCCTCAGCTGCTGCAAGAAGATAATGGACGGACTCCAAGCAGAGGCACAACACCCTTGCTCAGATGATCCACTGGAACTTGTGCCACAAACACCATCTGCCTGTGACAAAGAACTGGTGGGATCACAAGCCGGAAAAAGTTACAAAAAATGAACACATCAAACTCCTCTGGAACTTATAACAACAACAACAACAACAACAACAATAAAAATCGAACTGCAAAGACTCTAGCACAATTTATTTACAGTATTTATATTCTGCCCTTCTCACCCCGCAGAGGACTCAGGGCAGATTACAATGTACACATACATGGCAAACATTCAATGCCATAGACGCACAACACATATAGACAGACAAAGAGGCTATTTAACATTCTAATATTCTGGCCACTAGGGGAGCTGTTGCTTCACCGTCCACCTGCGACACTGATGAAGTACTTTCCGCATTCCCCGCATGCTTTTGCTGGAGATTTTTTATGGCCTCGTAAATTTGTTAAATTAGCCTCCCCACACATAGATGGTACCTAAATTTTCTACTTATAGAATCATAGAATCCTAGAGTTGGAAGAGACCTTCTGGGCCATCCAGTCCAACCCCATTCAGTAGTGTCTTTCTTTGCTGCAGAGATACAAGCAATATATGTATTTCAAAGCAAAAACGGCTTGTGAGTGGTTATTTAATATTGCTATATACATCCTACAGTCTGACAATAGCAAAACACCAACATACATCGTAGAATCATAAAATCATAGAATCCTAGAGTTGGAAGAGACCTCCTGGGCCATCCAGTCCAACCCCATTCCGCCAAGAAGCAGGAATATTGCATTCAAATCACCCCTGACAGATGGCCATCCAGCCTCTGTTTAAAAGCTTCCAAAGAAGGAGCCTCCACCACGCTCCAGGGCAGAGAGTCCACTGCTGAACAGCTCTCACAGTCAGGAAGTTCTTCCTCATGTTCAGATGGAATCTCCTTTCTTGTAGTTTGAAGCCATTGTTCCACGTCCTAGTCTCCAGGGCAGCAGAAAACAAGCTTGCTCCCTCCTCCCTATGTCTTCCTCTCACATATTTACATGGCCTCCTCTCAGCCTTCTATTCTTCAGGCTAAACAAGCCCAGTTCTTTAAGCCGCTCCTCATAGGGCTTGTTGTTCAGACCCTTATTCATTTTAGTTGCCCACCTCTGAACACATTCCAGCTTGTCAATATCTCTCTTGAATTGGGGTGCCCAGAATTGGACACAATATTCCAGGTGTGGTCTAACCAAAGCGGAATAGAGGGGGAGTAACTTCCCTAGATCTAGACACTATGCTCCTCTTGATGCAGGCCAAAATCCCATTGGCTTTTTTTGCCACATCACATTCCTGGCTCATGTTTAACTTGTTGTCCACGAGGACTCCAAGATCTTTTTCACACGTCCTGCTCTCGAGCCAGGCCTCATCGTCCCCCATTCTGTCTCTTTGCATTTCGTTTTTCCTGCCAAAGTGGAGTCTCTTGCATTTGTCCCTGTTGAACTTCATTTTGTTAGTTTTGGCCCATCATCTCTCTAATCGGTCAAGATCGTTTTGAATCCTGCTCCTATCCTCTGAAGTATTGGCTATCCCAATTTGGTTTCATGCCAGATGCAACTGTCTTTCGGGTTGCAAAGGTCGACAACAAGCTACACAATTTGGCTGGAAGATCACTCCAACCCGGGCTGGCTTCGAACTCATGAGCTTTCGGTCAGTAGTGATCTTAATGTAGTTGACACCCAGCCAGCTGCACCACAGTCCCAGTCAAGGTGGTCCCAGTGGTGATCGGCATACTGGGACCTTGATCTGCACTTAAACACAATCGGCGCTGACAAAATTACCACCTACCAGCTGCAAAAGGCCACCTTACTGGGATCTGCACGCAATATTCACCGATACATCACACAGCCCTAGACACTTGGGAAGTGTCTGATGTGTGACCCAATACAACAGCCAGCAGAGTGATTTTGTTTGCTGTGGACTCATCTTGTTGTGTTTATAATAATAATTATAATAATAGTTATAATCAATATGACATTTGCAAGTCAACGCTCTTGCCCTAAGTTTCCTCCCTTTCCCATTGAGAAGAGGATCTGAATCCTGAGAGACATTAAATCCCTAACCATAGCAACCCAACTTAATGAAATTGACTAATGGGAGGATTAGAAAGTATAATTGCTGGTGATGATAGGTTTCGGAATCAGTCCTAATTAAAAATAAATATATCTGCCGTGGGTGGCGCATAATCAATATCCCATCTAGAGTCACCAAGTCTGCAGACTTTATGCTGTAGAATGAAGGCAGTTTGATCCTTGGAAAGTTGTTGTTGTTACACTTGTTGTTCATTCGTTCAGTCGTCTCTGACTCTTCGTGACCTCATGGACCAGCCCACGCCAGAGCTCCCTGTCGGCCGTCACCACCCCCAGTCACTTCAAGGTCAGTCCAGTCACTTCAAGGATGCCATCCCTCCATCTTGCCCTTGGTCGGCCCCTCTTCCTTTTTCCTTCCACTTTCCCCAGCATCATTCCCTTCTCTAGGCTTTCCTGTCTCCTCATGATGTGGCATTCAAAGGACTTCAGCTTTGTCTCTAGTCTCTTTCCCTCCAATGAGCAGCCGGGCTTTATTTCCTGGAGGATGGACTAGTTGGATCTTCTCGCAGTCCAAGGCACTCTCAGCACTTTCCTCCAACACCACAGCTCAAAAGCATCTCTCTTCCTCCGCTCAGCCTTCCCTAAGGTCCATCTCTCACATCCGTAGGTGACTACAGGATATACCATGGCTTTGACTAGGCAATGGCTCTTGGTTGCCAGTCTGATGTCTCTACTCTTTACTATTTTATCGAGATTGGACCTTGCTCTCCTCCCAAGAAGGAAGCGTCTCCTGATTTCCTGGCCACAGTCTGCGTCTGCAGTCATCTTTGCACCTAGAAATACAAACCCTGTCACGGCCTCCACATTTTCTCCCTCTGTTTCCCAGTTGTTAATCATTCTTGTTGCCATAATCTTGGTTTTTTGGATGTTGAGCTGCAACCCAGCTTTTGCGCTTTCTTCTTCCACCTTGATTAGAAGGCTCCTCAGCTCCTCCTCGCTTTCGGCCATCAGAGTGGTGTCATCTGCATATCTGAGGTTGTTAATGTTTCTTCCAGCCATTTCCACCCCAGCTTTGCATTCCTCAAGCCCCGCACATCCTCGCATGATGTGTTCTGCATACACGTTAAAAAGGTTGGGTGAGAGGATGCAGCCTTGCCGGACGCCTTTCCCAATCTGGAACCCGTCTCCTGTTCCGTGGTCAGTTCTGACTGTTGCCACTTGGTCCTTGGACAGATCCCTCAGGAGAGAGGGAAGGGGGCTTGGGATGCCCATCCCACCAAGAACTTGCCACCATTTATGATGATCCACACAGTCAAAGGCTTCAGAATAGTCAATGAAGCAGAAGTAGATGTTTTTCTGAAACTCCCGGCCTTTCTCCATTCTCCAGCGGAGATTGGCAATCTGGTCTCTCGTTCCTCTGCCTTTTCTAAACCCAGCTTGAACATCTGGCAACTCTCGCTCCATGTCTTGCTGGAGTCTTCTTCCTTGCAGGATCCTGAGCATTCCCTTACTGGCATGAGGAGAAATAAGGGCCACTGTACGGAAGTTGGAGCAGTCTTTCACATTTCACTCTTTTGGTATGGGGATATAAGTGGATTTTTTCCAGTCTGATGGCCATTCTTGTGTTTTCCATATTTGCTGGCATATGGCATGCATCACCTTGACAGCATCATCTTTTAAGATTTTAAACAGTTCAGCTGGGATCCCGTCGTCTCCTGCTGCCTTGTTGTTAGCAATGCTTCTTAAGGCCCATTCAACTTCACTCCTCAGGATGTCTGGTTCTAATTCATTCACCACACCGTCAAAACTATCCTCGATATTATTATCCTTCCTATACAGATTTTCTGTTGTTACACTATGTAACAAAATTTGAAAACAAATAAATTCTGTTCCTGGTTTGAATGTGTCATTTCCTGTTTAATTGCGCAGTCCTTACTCTGAAAGTAGTCGTTCTTAAGGAGTCACGGATATATAAGATTTTATATCTACTAAATAATAATAATAATAATAATAATAATAATAATAATACTTTATTTATATACTGCTCTATCTCCCCTAAGGGACTCAGGATGATTTCCAAATAGCTGTCAGGAGTCAATTTCTGAGGGCATGAAGACATCCGTGACATCCTGACTGAATTATCCTGGATGAATCAATTCTCTCTCTGTGACATTTTGAAGCCAGCAGAGGGCGCTGGAAACCTTGTATTGGAACTTGTGAAGCAACAAGTTCTAATAAGGAAATTGAGAAGAGGGGGGAGATGGGCAGGAAAGGTGTATAAAAGGAAGTGATGGTGGGGAAAAGTCAGTAGTGTCTTCCTTTGCTGCAGAGATACAAGCAATATATCCATTTCCAAGCAAAAGGGCTTGTGAGTGGTTATTTAATATTGCTACATACATCCTACAGTCTGACAATAGCAAAACACCAATATACATCGTAGAATCATAGAACCATAGAATCAAAGAGTTGGAAGAGACCTGGTGGGCCATTATCCAGTCCAACCCCATTCTGCCAAGAAGCAGGAATATTGCATTCAAAGCACCCCTGACAGATGGCCATCCAGCCTCTGTTTAAAAGCTTCCAAAGAAGGAGCCTCCACCACGCTCCGGGGCAGAGAGTTCCACTGCTGAACGGCTCTCACAGTCAGGAAGTTCTTCCTCATGTTCAGATGGAATCTCCTCTCTTGTAGTTTGAAGCCATTGTTCCATTGCGTCCTAGTCTCCAGGGCAGAAGAAAACAAGTTCGCTCCCTCCTCCCTGTGGTTTCCTCTCACATATTTATACATGGCTATCATATTTCCTCTCAGCCTTCTCTTCTTCAGGCTAAACATGCCAAGCTCCTTAAGCCGCTCCTCATAGGGCTTGTTCTCCAGACCCTTGATCATTTGAGTCGCCCTCCTCTGGACACATTCCAGCTTGTCAATATCTCTCTTGAATTGTGGTGCCCAGAATTGGACACAATATTCCAGGTGTGGTCTAACCAGAGCAGAATAGAGCATGGGGAGCATGACTTCCCTGGACCTAGACACTATGCTCCTATTGATGAAGGCCAAAATCCCATTGGCTTTTTTTGCTGCCACATCACATTGTTGGCTCATGTTTAACTTGTTGTCCACGAGGACTCCAAGATCTTTTTCACACATCCTGCTCTTGAGCCAGGCATTCCGCATTCTGTATCTTTGCATTTCATTTTTCCAGCCAAAGTGGAGTATCTTGCATTTGTCACTGTTAAACTTCATTTTGTTAGTTTTGGCCCATCATCTCTCTAATCTGTCAAGATCCCTTTGAATCCTGCTCCTGTCCTCTGGAGTGTTGGCTCTCCCTCCCAATTTGGTGTCGTCTGCAAACTTGATGATCCTGCCTTCTCTCCCTTCATCTAAGTCGTTAATAAAGATGTTGAACAGGACCGGGCCCAGGACGGAACCCTGCTGATGGCACTCCACTTGTCACTTCTTTCCAAGATGAAGAGGAAGCCTTGGGGAGAATCACCCTCTGGGTTCGTCCATTTAACCAATTACAGATCCACCTCACCGTAGTTTTGCCTCGCCCACATTGGACGAGTTTCCTTGCCAGAAGGTCATGGGGGACCTTGTCAAAGAAGGCCTTCCTGAAATCCAGACACGCTCCATCCATGGCATTCCCCGCATCTACCCAGCTTGTAATTCTATCGAAAAAAGAGATCAGATGAGTCTGGCATGACTCGTTTTTGATAAATCCATGTTGACTATTAGCAATGACCGCATTTGTTTCTAAGTGTTTGCAGACCACTTCCTTAACAATCTTTTCCAGTTCAATCTCAAGCTGAATACCAACAACAAACTGATCAGCTTCGATGTGGTATCTCTATTGACCATGGTCCCGATAGCAGACACCATGGCACTCATCAACCAGAGGTTCCCAGAAGACATCACAACTCCGTTTCACCATTGCCTCACCACCAGCTACTTTCAGTGGGACAATGAATTCTACAAACAGAAAGATGGAGTAGCTATGGGGAGCCCTCTCAGCCCGATCATAGCTAACTTCTACATGGAACACTTTGAAAAACAAGCCCTAGAAAAAGCAACCAAAAAACCGATGATATGGTTCAGATATGTGGAGGACACTTTCACCATTTGGAGCCATGGAGAAGAAGAACTCAACGGGTTCCTGGACCATCTGAACAGCATCCACCCAAACATCCAGTTCACCATGGAAAGAGAAAATGAAGGAAGACTGCCTTTTCTAGATGTCCTAGTCATCTGCAAACCAGATCAACAATTGGGTCACACCGTCTATAGAAAACCCACACACACAGATAGAGATCTACATCAAAACTCCAACCATCACCCAAGTCAAAAAAGAAGCCCCATTAAAGCCTTGGCAGACCGTGCAAAAAGAATCTGCGAAGCCCACCTCCTCCAAGATGGACTGAACCACCTCAACTGGGCTCTACAGGTCAATGGAGACTCCACCTCAGACATCAGAAGAGCTGCAAGACCACCGAGAAGAAGCCACGAGAGTCAAGACAGAGACCCACCCAGAGGAAGAGTGTTCTTGCCAGACATCAAGGGAACCACTGACCGCAGAGGGAAGATGATGAGGGAACACAACATACAAACTATCTACAGACCCACCAGGAAAATCCAACAAATGCTACATTCAGCCAAGGACAAGAGGGATCCGCTCACCTATGCAGGAGTCTACCATTGTGTACCATGCAGCTGTGGACAAGAAGTCTACCTAGGGACCACCAAACGCAGCAGCATTGCCCAGACACGAATCAAGGAACATGAAAGGCACTGCAGACTCCTTCAACCGGAGAAGTCAGCCATAGCAGAGCACCTGAGGAACCAACCTGGACACAGCATTTTATTGGAGAACACAGACATGCTGGACCACTCCAACAACCACCATGTCAGACGACACAGAGATGCCACTGAAATCCACAAGCATGTGGACAATTTCAACAGAAAGGAAGAAACCATGGAAATGAACAAAATCTGGCTACCAGTATTTTAAAAAACTCTAAAATCACAACAGAACAACAGAGAGGAAACAAACAAGGACATCTAATCACCTCTCAACAAAAGATTCCTCCAGACACTGTCAGGCCATTATATAGTAATCAAGATAGTCAGTTGAAACATTTACACCTAGCTCCAGCAGACAAGAGTCCTTTGTCCCACCCTGGTTTTTCCACAGATATATAAACCCCTTTTTCCTAGTTCCAATAGACGTCACTAACTCTGAGGATGCTTGCCATAGATGCAGGCGAAACGTCAGGAGAGAATGCCTCTAGAACATGGCCATACAGCCCGAAAAAACCTACAACAACCCAGTCATAATCTGTTATTTGTATCTCCCTTTTTCTCCCTTGACTCAAAGCAGCCGCTCACCTCATGGGCATAACATTTTCCAATGCCGGACGTAGCGCCAGTGACCACTGCAAAAACAAGAAAAGGGACAGGTTATTGATTGATTGATTGATTTAAAACTTTTATATCCCAGCTCACAGCAAGGATTCAATGCTAATAATACAGTCTAAAACATCATACAGCAAAAAAAGTTTAAAATCCATGTAGAATAAAATACATATAAGCCAAAATCGCCAAGATAAAATCATGTCCAACTCAGTCCGCATATGTGGTCGATAATTTTGGTCTGCAGCCGGTCTCAGCCATAATTCTGGAAATGCTTCGTTCCATAGCCACAGGATTTCACTAGCCTCCTAAAGGTCAGGAGGGAGGGGGCAAGTCTGATCTCAATTGGGAGAGAGTTCCATAGCCAAGGGGCCACCACGGAAAAGGCCCTGCCGTGATTGCGAAAGTGATGGGACCAAGAGCAGGGCCCCACCAGAATCATAGAATCCTAGAATCAAAGAGTTGGAAGAGACCTCATGGGCTATCATCCAGTCCAACTCCATTCTGCCAAGAAGCAGGAATATTGCATTCAAATCACCCCTGACAGATGGCCATCCAGCCTCTGCTTAAAAGCTTCCAAAGAAGGAGCCTCCACCACACTCCAGGGCAGAGAGTTCCACTGCTGAACGGCTCTCACAGTCAGGAAGTTCTTCCTCGTGTTCAGATGGAATCTCCTCTCTTGTAGTTTGAAGCCATTGTTCCACGTCTAGTCTCCAAGGAAGCAGAAAGGAAGCTTGCTCCCTCCTCCTCCCTGTGGCTTCCTCTCACATATTTATACACGGCTATCATGTCTCCTCTCAGCCTTCTCTTCTTCAGGATAAACATGCCCAGCTCCTTAAGCCGCTCCTCATAGGGCTTGTTCTCCAGACCCTTGATCATTTTAGTCGCCCTCCTCTGGACACATTCCAGCTTAGAGTCAATATCTCTCTTGAATTGTGGTGCCCTGAATTGTACACAATATTCCAGGTAAAGTGGTCTAACCAAAGCGGAATAGAGCACGGGGAGCATGACTTCCCTAGATCTAGACACTATGCTCCTCTTGATGCAGGCCAACATCCCATTGGCTTTTTTTGCCGCCACTTCACATTCCTGGCTCATGTTTAACTTCCTGTCCACGAGGACTCCAAGATCTTTTTCACACATCCTGCTCTCGAGCCAGGTCTCATCGTCCCCCATTCTGTCTCTTTGCATTTCGTTTTTCCTGCCTAAGTGGAGTATCTTGCATTTGTCGCCGTTGAACTTCATTGTGTTTGTTTTGACCCATCTCTCTTAGAAGATCTTAACTGCCTTGATGATTCATAGGGGAGAAATTAATGACCCAGTAGATCGAATAATAATAATAATAATAATAATAATAATAATAATAATAACAACATCTTGCCAGTAGAACAAAAAGGCAATAAAAGAAGAAGTAGGGGCACGAAAAGATAGAGATACTACTCCTCACTCTTTTATCGAGATTGCCCATTGCTCTCCTCCCAAGAAGGAAAAGTCTTCTGATTTCCTGGACGTAGTCTGCATCTGCGCCCATCTTTGCAGGGAGAAGTACAAACCCTGTCGCTGCCTCCATGTTTTCTCCCTCTATTTGCCATTTATTTATTTATGTATTTATTTACGACATTTATATGCCACCCTTCTCACCCCGAAGGGTTATCAGTCAGCCTGGTTTCCAGAATCTGACGTTTAACTGCAACCGAACCAAACTTCCACCTTGGTGAGAAGGCTCCTCAGCTCCTTCTCGCTTTCAGGCATCAAAGTGGTATCATCTGCATATCTAACGTTGTTCAAGTTTCATCCAGCAATTTTAACTCCAGCCTTGGATTCATAAAACCCTGCACATCGCATGATGTGTTCTGCATACAAGTTGAATAGGTTGGGGGAGAGTAGACAACCCTACGCCTTTCCCAATCTGGAACCCATCTGTTGTTCCGTGGTCAGTTCGTATTGCTGCTATTTGATCATAATTCAGATTCCTCAGGAGACATACAAGGTGATTTGGTCTCCCCGTACATACCACCAAAAATTTGCCACAATTTATTATTATTGTCGGCTTATACTCGAGTATATACAGTAATATATAATGAACTAGCCGTCCCCTGCCACGCATTGATGTGGCCCACATGGGGGTTCTGTGTGGGAGGTTTGGCCCAATTCTATCGTTGGTGGGGTTCAGAATGCTCTTTGATTGTAGGTGAACTATAAATCCCAGCAACTACAACTCCCAAATGTCAAGATTCTATTTTCCCCAAACTCTACCAGTGTTCACATTTGGGCCTATTGAGTATTCGTGTCGAGTCCAGATCCATCATTGTTTGAGTCCACAGTGATCTCTGGATGTAGGTGAACTACAACTCCAAACCCAAAGGACACTGGCCACCAAACCCTTCCAGTGTTTTCTGTTGGTCATGGGAGAACTGTGTGCCAAGTTTGGTTCAATTCCATCATTGGTGGGGTTCAGAATGCTCTTTGATTGCAGGTGAACTATAAATCCCAGCAACTACAACTCCCCAATGTCAAGATTCTATTTCCCCCAAACTCCACCAGTGTTCACATTTGAGCATATTGAGTATTCATGTAGAGTTTGTTCCAGATCCATCATTGTTTGAGTCCGGATGTAGGTGAACTACAACTCCCAAACCAAAGGATACTGCCCACCAAACTCTTCCAGTATTTTCTGTTGGTCATGGGAGAATTGTGTGCCAAGTTTGGTTCAATTCCATCATTAGTGTAGTTCAGAATGCTCTTTGATTGTAGGTGAACTATAAATCCCAGCAACTACAACTCCCAAATGGCAAAATCATACATTGGCCTGAGAGGTGTCTTGTGTCCCAATTTGGTGTCGATTCGTCCAGTGGGTTTTGAGTTCTGTCAATCCCACAAACGAACATTACATTTTTATTTATATAGATTATTCCATATTACAACTATTAATGAATTAATTATAACATTTAATTATTAATTATATATTCCTCCTTATGACTATTGATTACCTGCCCCTCCTTGTGTCTCGAGGTGGGGCACGACCTCGTTAGAATAGATCATCATCATCATAATTAAATATATTTCATTAAAAAATTACATATTAAAACATCGTTCTATAAAATTCACATATTAAAAATGCATGGAATGAAGAATGCCCTGGCTTGATACTATTGATACTATGGCACCCTGGGAGTTGTAGTTGGGCAAGGACTTTTTGCCTTGTCTTGGTGCATCTGCATCGTCGAACGAACTGTCATGGGAGTTGTAGTTTTGCAAGGACCTTAGTTGCCTCGGTCAGCTGATGCTGGCATGTCACCAAACTACAACTCACCAAGAAGGCATAGCATTGGGATATCTCACAACATGCTATGGAATCCTGGGAGTTGTAGTTCCCCAGGGCCTTTAGCTGCCTCTGCCCAAGAGTGTGAGTGTTTCATCAAACTACAAGTCACAAGATTGCATAGCATTGAGTTAAAATGCAGAACCAGATATCTCATTATATGCTATGGAATCCTGGGAGTTGTAGTTCCCCAGGGCATTTTGCTGCCCCTGCCCAAGAGTGAATGCATCAACAAACTACAGCTCACCAAGATTGCATAGCACTGAGTTAAAATGCAGAACCAAATACCTCATTACATGCTATGGAATCCTGGGAGTTGTAGTTCCCCAGGGCCTTTAGCTTCCTCTGCCCAAGAATTTGAGTGCGTCAACAAACTACAACACACCAAGATTGCATAGCACTGAGTTAAAACGCAGAACCAAATATCTCATTACATGCTATGGAATCCTGGGAGTTATAGTTCTACAGGTCCTTTTGCTGCCTCTACCCAAAAGTATGAGTGCATCAACAAACTACAGCTCGCCAAGATTGCACAGCACTGAGTTAAAAATGCAGAACCTACATGCTATGGAATCCTGGGAGTTGTAGTTCCTTAGGGCCTTTTGCTGCCTCTGCCCAAAAGTATGAGTGCGTCAACAAACTACACCTCACCAAGATTGCATAGCATTGAGTTAAAAATGCAGAACCAGATATCTCATTACATGCTATGGAATCCTGGAAGAGGACTTTAGTGGCCTCTGCCCAAGAGTGGGAGTCCAACACCAAACTACAACTACCAGGATTCTACAGCATTGAGCCATGGCAGTTAAAATGTGTGCTACAGAAATCCTGGGAGTTGTAGTTTGGCAAGTTGTAGTTTTGCACGCTTCCTGATACGCGGCAACGGGAACATCCACACCTTCCCAGAGGAGAGCTGATCATCTTCGTCTGGAGAAGGCCTGTGTGTGCGTGAGTAAGTGTGAATGTGTGTGTGTACAAGAGCTCTCCTTGATGTGATTCTGATATGATTCTGTGATGACTGTATTTCAATAAATGTTACATGAATAGTGTCAAAACCAAATTTGGTCTCCAAAGTGTCTCATTGATCTAAACTACCTTACTATTCCTTGAACACTCTGCACAAAGAACAGAAACCTATTTGGGTTCATAACAATAGCATTGAGTTAAAAATGCAGAACCAGGTACCTCATTACATGCAATTGAATCCTGGGAGATGTAGTTCCCCCTGGGCCTTAGAGTGTGAGTGCATCACCGAACTACAACTCCCAAGATTCTACGCCATTGAGCTGTGGCAATTAAAATGCAGAATGGGGCCTTAGAGTGCGAGTGTGTCATTGAACTACAACTCCCAAGATTCTATGCCATTGGGCTGTGGCAATTGAAATGCAGAATGGGGCCTTAGAGTGCGAGTGTGTCATTGAACTACAACTCCCAAGATTCCACACCATTGAGCTGTGGCAATTAAAATGCAGAACAGGGCCTTAGAGTGCGAGTGTGTCATTGAACTACAACTCCCAAGATTCTACGCCATTGAGCCTTGGCAGTTAAAATGCAGAATGGGGCCTTAGAGTGCGAGTGTGTCATTTCATTGAACTACAACTCCCAATATTCCACACCATTGAGCTGTGGCAATTAAAATGCAGAACGGGGCCTTAGAGTGCAAGTGTGTCCTTAGAGTGCAAGTGTGTCCATACCCCCAAAAATTGCAGGTACCTCACCATACTACAACTCTCAGGATGGCATAGCATTGAGTTAAAAAGCAGAAACAGACATTTCATTACATGCAATGGAATACTGGGTGCTGTAGTTTCCCAGGGGCCTTAGAGTGCGAGTGCGTCACTGAACTACAACTCCCAAGATTCTACACCATTGAGCTGTGGCAGTCAAACTGCAGAACGGGGTCTTAGAGTGCGAGTGTGTCATTGAACTACAACTCCCAAGATTCTACACCATTGAGCTGTGGCAGTCAAACTGCAGAACGGGGTCTTAGAGTGCGAGTGTGTCATTGAACTACAACTCCCAAGATTCTACACCATTGAGCTGTGGCAGTCAAACTGCAGAACGGGGTCTTAGAGTGCGAGTGTGTCATTGAACTACAACTCCCAAGATTCTACACCATTGAGCTGTGGCAGTCAAACTGCAGAACGGGGTCTTAGAGTGCGAGTGTGTCATTGAACTACAACTCCCAAGATTCTACACCATTGAGCTGTGGCAGTCAAACTGCAGAACGGGGTCTTAGAGTGCGAGTGTGTCATTGAACTACAACTCCCAAGATTCTACACCATTGAGCTGTGGCAGTCAAACTGCAGAACGGGGTCTTAGAGTGCGAGTGTGTCATTGAACTACAACTCCCAAGATTCTACACCATTGAGCTGTGGCAGTCAAACTGCAGAACGGGGTCTTAGAGTGCGAGTGTGTCATTGAACTACAACTCCCAAGATTCTACACCATTGAGCTGTGGCAGTCAAACTGCAGAACGGGGTCTTAGAGTGCGAGTGTGTCATTGAACTACAACTCCCAAGATTCTACACCATTGAGCTGTGGCAGTCAAACTGCAGAACGGGGTCTTAGAGTGCGAGTGTGTCATTGAAATACAACTCCCAAGATTCTACACCATTGAGCTGTGGCAGTCAAAATGCAGAACGGGGCCTTAGAGTGCGGGTGTGTCATTGAACTACAACTCCCAAGATTCTACGCCATTGAGCCTTGGAAGTTAAAACGCAGAACGGGGCCTTAGAGTGCGGGTGTGTCATTGAACTACAACTCCCAAGATTCTACACCATTGAGCCCTGGCAATTAAAATGCAGAATGGGGGCTTAGAGGGCGACTGTGTCATTGAACTACAACTCCCAAGATTCTATGCCATTGAGCCCTGGCAGTTAAAATGCAGAATGGGGGCTTAGAGTGCGACTGTGTCATTGAACTACAACTCCCAGGATTCTACACTATTCAGCCTTGGCAATTAAAATGCAGAACGGGGCCTTAGAGTGCGAGTGTGTCATTGAACTACAACTCCCAAGATTCTACGCCATTGAACTGTGGCAGTTAAAATGCAGAACGGGGCCTTAGAGTGCGACTGTGTCATTGAACTACAACTCCCAAGGTTCTATGCCACTGAGCTGTGGCAGTTAAAATGCAGAACTGGATGCTACGGAAATCTTGGGAGTTGTAGTTTGACAAGATCTTGTCTTCCATACCAAAACAAAAACAAAGCACTGATGCCTCACCAAACTACAACTCCCTGGATCTCCTTAGGATTGCGTCTCGGTAGTGAAAGTGGTGCCGAACGCATGATACAGTCCAGAATAGATGCGCCCTTGGGAAGTCTACGGAGCATGTTTGTACTCACCTGCCCAGGTGCCGTAATGGGAGAAGTCCACCGCTTTCCAATACTCGGAGAGAATGTGGACCCGGACCTTGAACCAAACGAACCAGGAGGCTCTCAGGAGCATCCAAAGGGCAACGGCGCCTCCAAAGAGGCAGAAGTAGAAGTCCAGGGAAGTCATTCCACTTTGGGGGGCCATCTCGTCTTTCCCGATGCTCTCCTTGCAAGGAATGAATGCGCAACACGGGTTTGGAGGCATTTATTGGGAGCGCACACTCCCAATAAAGATGCTCCCATTGGGCAACCTTGGCTTGCACCACCCTTTTGGCCCCAAGGCACTTTACTTACTTAGTTACTTACTTACTTAAGCAATCCCTGGTAGCACAAAGATGATGGCCCTCCAAGTGTAGTATCTTGGTGGTGGGTCCAGGCTGATGGTCCTCCAAGTGTAGTATCTTGGTGGAGGGTCTAGGCTGATGGCCCTCCAAGTGTAGTATCCAGGATGATGGCCCTCCAAGTGTAGTATTTTGGTGGTGGGTCAAGGCTGATGGCCCTCCAAGTGTAGTATCCAGGATGATGGCCCTCCAAGTGTAGTATCTTGGTGGTGGGTCCAGGCTGATGGCCCTCCAAGTGTAGTATCCAGGATGATGGCCCTCCAAGTGTAGTATCTTGGTGGTGGGTCCAGGCTGATGGTCCTCCAAGTGTAGTATCTTGGTGGAGGGTCTAGGCTGATGGCCCTCCAAGTGTAGTATCCAGGATGATGGTCCTCCAAGTGTAGTATCTTGGTGGTGGGTCCAGACTGATGGCCCTCCAAGTGTAGTATCTTGGTGGTGGGTCCAGGCTGATGGCCCTCCAAGTGTAGTATCCAGGATGATGGCCCTCCAAGTGTAGTATTTTGGTGGTGGGTCAAGGCTGATGGCCCTCCAAGTGTAGTATCCAGGATGATGGCCCTCCAAGTGTAGTATCTTGGTGGTGGGTCCAGGCTGATGGCCCTCCAAGTGTAGTATCCAGGATGATGGTCCTCCAAGTATAGTATCTTGGTGGTGGGTCCAGGATGATGGTCCTCCAAGTGCAGTATATTGATGATGGGTCCAGGATGATGGTCCTCCAAATGTAGTATCTTGGTGGTGGATCCAGGATGATGGTCCTCCAAGTGTAATATCTTGGTGGTGGGTCCAGGATGATGGCCCTCCAAGTGTAGTATCTTGATGATGGGTCCAGGATGATGGTTCTCCAAGTGTAGTATCTTGGTGGAGGGTCCAGGATGATGGTCCTCTAAGTGTAGTATCTTGGTGGTGGGTCCTGGATGATGGTCCTCCAAGTGTAGTATCTTGTTGGTGGGTTCAGGATGATGGTCCTCCAAATGTAGTATCTTGGTGGTGGGTCCAGAATGATGGTCCTCCAAGTGTACTATCTTGGTGGTGGGTCCAGGATGATGGTCCTCCAAATGTAGTATCTTGGTGGTGGGTTCAGGATGATGGTCCTCCAAGTGTAGTATCTTGGTGGTGGGTCCAGGATGATGGTCCTCCAAGTGTACTATCTTGGTGGTGGGTCCAGGATGATGGTCCTCCAAGTGTAGTATCTTGGTGGTGGGTCCAGGATGATGGTCCTCCAAGCGTAGTATCTTGGTGGTGGGTCCAGGATGATGGTCCTCCAAGTGTAGTATCTTGGTGGTGGGTCCAGGATGATGGTCCTCCAAGTGTAGTTTCTTGGTGGTGGGTCCAGGATGATGGTCCTCCAAGTGTACTATCTTGGTGGTGGGTCCAGGATGATGGTCCTCCAAGTGTAGTATCTTGGTGGTGGGTCCAGGATGATGGTCCTCCAAGCGTAGTATCTTGGTGGTGGGTCCAGGATGATGGTCCTCCAAGTGTAGTATCTTGGTGGTGGGTCCAGGATGATGGTCCTCCAAGTGTAGTATCTTGGTGGTGGGTCCAGGATGATGGTCCTCCAAGTGTAGTATCTTGGTGGTGGGTCCAGGATGATGGTCCTCCAAGTGTAGTATCCAGGATGATGGCCCTCCAAGTGTAGTATCCAGGATGATGGCCCTCCAAGTGTAGTATCTTGGTGGTGGGTCCAGGATGATGGTCCTCCAAGTGTAATATCCAGGATGATGGTCCTCCAAGTGTAGTATCTTGGTGGTGGATGCAGGATGATGGTCCTCCAAGTGTAGTATCTTGATGATGGGTCCAGGCTGATGGCCCTCCAAGCGTAATATCTTGATGTTGGGTCCAAGATGATGGTCCTCCAAGTGTAGTATCTTGGTGGTGGGTCCAGGATGGTGGTCCTCCAAGTGTAGTATCTTGGTGGTGGGTCAAGGATGATGGTCCTCCAAGTGTAGTATTCTTCAAGCTCATCTTTCAATCTCTTTTTCCTGTCCACCATTATGTTTCCCATTCTTGAGTTGGGAGTAGAGTCACTGCTTTGGGAAACAGTGATCTTTGGACATTTGGGCAACATGGCCTTCAGTCCAAGAGTTGATGGTGGAGGAGCATGGCTTCAATGCTGGTGGTCTTTGCTTCTTCTTCCAGCATGCTGACATTTCGCCTCCTATCTTCCCAAGAGATTTGCAGGATTTTTCAGAGGCAATGCTGATGGAATCGTTGCAGGAGTTGAGAGTGACGTCTGTAGACAGTCCTCGTTTCGCAGGCATATAACAGGGTTGGGAGGACAATAAACAACCTCCTTAGTCTCCCTTTGGATGTCCCGCACCTCAAACACTTGCTGCTTCGTTCAGAAGAATGCTGCACTCGCAGAGCTCGGGCAGTGTTGTCATTCAGTGTCCATATTGACTTTTATGGAGAGGTGGCTGCCAAGGGAGCGGAAATGGTCCACGTTTTCTAATGTTACCCCATTAAGCTGTATTTCTGGCATTGGAGAGGGATTGGCTGGTGACTGCTGGAAGAGCATTTTGGTTTTCTCGATGTTCAGTGAGAGGCCGAGCTTTGTCCACCTGTCTTCCCAAGAGATTTGCAGGATTTTTCGGAGGCAATGTTGATGAAATCGTTCCAGGAGTTGAGAGTGACGTCTGTAGACAGTCCACGTTTCGCAGGCATATAACAGGGTTGGGAGGACAATAGCTTTATAAACAAGCACCTTGGTCTCCCTGCAGATGTCCCGGTCCTCAAACACTCTCTGCTTCATTCATGACATCTTTAGACAGTCCACGTTTGAGTGTGCCATCTGTAGACAGTCCACGTTGAGTGTGATATCTGTAGACAGTCCACGTTTGAGTGTGCCATCTGTAGACAGTCCACGTTGAGTGTGATATCTGTAGACAGTCCACGTAGAGTGTGACATCTGTAGACAGTCCACGTTGAGTGTGACATCTGTAGACAGTCATCCCTAACTCCTAACCCTAAACCTGACCCTAACCCTAACCCTAAACCCTAACCCTATCCCTAAACCCTAATCCCTAACCCTAACTCCTAACCCTAACCCTAACCCCTAGCTCCTAACCCTATCCCTAAACCTTAACCCTAACCCTGACCCTAACCCTAATCCCTAATCCCTAACCCTAACTCCTAACCCTAATCCCTAGCTCCTAACCCTATCCCTAAACCCTAACCCTAACCCTGACCCTAACCCTAATCCCTAACCCTAACTCCTAACCCTAATCCCTAGCTCCTAACCCTATCCCTAAACCCTAACCCTGACCCTAACCCTAATCCCTAATCCCTAACTCCTAACCCTATCCCTAAACCCTAACCCTGACCCTAATCCTAACCCTTAACTCTAACCCTAATCCCTATCCCAATCCCTGACTCCTAACCCTAACCCCTAACTCTAACCCCTAACCCTAACCCCTATCCCTAACTCCTAACCCTAACCTGATAATTACAAAAAGTTTGCCTTTGTTGGCTTGTGTAATCTTTATATCCCTCTACATTCTTTTTAGAGGCTCGCAGTCAGTCTGATGTTCTAACACCATATTCACAATCCCGATGGTCACGTATAGAATTCAAATTTACCTTGACTTCTATTAACCTATTTTGCTAAGGTTGGTGCTATGAATATGTAATGAATTCCAATGAATACCTTGTGCACTGCTGAATAATATGGATATAGCTTTTCGTCCTCTTTAATTATTCTCAGTACATCCTTTAAGTTGTAATTGCTAATCAGCTGAACGAAACCACGTCTCGCTTGCCAATCCCCTCCCTTTTGTGACGAGGAGTCCAGATCCTGGTTGAACGTTGTGTTAAAATCCCCTGCAACGATCATATTGCCTGTTTGGACTTTTCCAATCCTTTCATCGACCCCTTCTCGGCTTGTTTTGAAGATTTAATAACTCGGCTTTCATGTCTGCCATGTCTGTAATAATAATAATAATAAGAAGAAGAAGAAGAAGAAGAAGAAGAATAGGGTCCTCTGAAGATGTCAGTAGCCTGAGATGCAGGCGAAATGTCAGGAGAAAATGCTGCTAGAACTTTAAGTCTTCCCTTGCTACTTTGTGGTTCACTTTCCGTGGACTCGCTGTTTCAAGGGAAAGGAGGAGGGGGAAAGGAAGAAGAGGAGGAGGGCTTGCTTCCTCTCCTTCCTTCCCTGATTTTCACTTATCGTGGGTGGTCCTGTGTTAGGGATTCCTCATCTTCGGAAGAGGAAGGGGACCAGGGAAGTGCTCAGGAATTGGAGGGAGGAGAAGAATCAGATTATGAGGTTTTACAAGTGCCCACATTTCTAGAGAGACGAAAGGAGACAGAGCACAGATGGCATTCAGCTAGAATAGCTGCTAGAAACGTTAAGCTAATTGGGAGACCCCCTAGCACCTCCTGCATGGGGAATTCAGGGCTATAAATCAGAAGCAGGATCAATCAGTTTTCGCTGGTAACAACGACTCTGATGCTGACGTTTCCACTCCAATTGAACCTGCTTTGTGTCTGCTGCTTAGTGGCCATTGTCTGATGGAAGATTGCTGTTTCTTTTGGGACTTTGTAAGAGACTTTAATTTGCATCTGCATTAAGACTTCCTTGCTTTCTTTTGCTTTTTTCAACTGCATTTGCTTATTCTTTGTGTTTGCTGAAGTAAAGCATTTTCTTTTTAATTTCAACATTGTGTTAAGGCTGTTTTTGAAGGACCACACAGGAGGCAGAGACCAATCAGACTCATCAAAGAGTTCATTGCCCTGGCGAGACAGAAAGAAGCACCCAATATTTTTCCCTGATTTTTCCCAATAAATCAATAAATCATAGAATCATAGAATTAAAGACCTCCTGGGCCATCCAGTCCAACCCCATTCTGCCAAGAAGCAGGAATATTGCATTCAAATCACCCCTGACAGATGGCCACCCAGCCTCTGCTTAAAAGCTTCCAAAGAAGGAGCCTCCACCACACTCCGGGGCAGAGAGTTCCACTACTGAACGGCTCTCACAGTCAGGAAGTTCTCCCTCATGTTCAGATGGAATCTCCTCTCTTGTAGTTTGAAGCCATTGTTCCGCATCCTAGTCTACAAGGAAGCAGAAAACAAGCTTGCTCCCTCCTCCTCCCTGTGGCTTCCTCTCACATATTTATACATGGCTATCATATCTCCTCTCAGCCTTCTCTTCTTCAGGCTAAGCATGCCCAGCTCCTTAAGCCGCTTCTCATAGGGCTTGTTCTCCAGGTCTCACCAATTTGAAGAAAATCCACCGAGTTGTTTATTGCGATCAAGCTGGAAAGGATGTCATGTCATACTGCGATCATTCATCAAGCAGACATGCACTGAATACAAAATAAAGCCTTTTTATACATATACAGAGCTGTCAGATTTGAATCTCCCGCTCCCCGCCCCTCAGCCGGCTTGGCTCTGATTGGTCGGCACTCTACAGCTGGGAGGAGGCTTGGCCGCCTCCTGAGCACCTTAGCCAATGGGTGAGCTCACGCCGCTTCAGCCTCCTGGCCAATCAGGAGAGAGGGAGGTGGGATGAGAGGGAAACAATGAGAACTTGAGTGGATTAGGGAAATATGTGATGTCCATGTGGCCGGTGAGTCCTCAGGGGCCTTCCAGCTGACCGGCTTATTGTGATGAGGGGTAGTAATCAACATTGAGGTTTGGCGAGATGGCCAGAATCCAGATTTTTCTTGAGCCGGGATATGGGGACAATAGAGCAATCTTGTCTGTAGTTTCGGTTGAGGGAAGCTTAACTGAGTAAACAGATCAGGACAAATTGTGGCTTTCCGAAGGCCCTTTGTCCTGTTGAGATATGATCATTAATGTCAAGCGGGCACATCCCCTCAAGCGGCCAGACTCTGAGATCCGAGAATCAGTGCCCATTGTATTGTCCATGCAAAAGTGTTGTCCCCAGGAAGAGAGGTAATCTCCTGATTGAAAAGAACCTTGACAAAGAACACTTTTGCATGGACGAAGAGAGAGCGGCATATCATATTTTATACATTATCTATATCTATTAAAATGCTCTGTGCATAATGAGTACCTTAAAAACAAAAGAACCAATGAACGAAATCACACCAAATTTGGCAACAAAACGCCTCACAACACAAGGAGTGACCATCACTCAAAAAAATATGATTTTGTCATTTGGGAGTTGTAGTTGATGGGATTTATAGTTTACTTACAATCAAAGAGCATTCTGAACACCACCAATGATGGAATTGAACCAAACGTGACACATAGAAATGACCAACAGAAAACACTAGAAGGGTTTGGTGGGCATTGACCTTGAGTTTGAGAGTTGTAGTTCACCTACATCCAGAGACTACCATGGACTCAAACAATGATGGATCTGGACCAAACTTGGCACGAATATTCCATATGTCCAAATATGGACACAGATGGAGTTTGGGGGAAATAGACCTTGACATTTGGGATTTGTAGTCACTGGGATTCACAGTTCACCTACAATCAAAGAGCATTCTGAACTCTATCAACGATTGAATTGAACCAAACTTGGCATACAGAACTCCCATGACCAACAGAAAATACTGGAAGGGTTTGGTGGGCATTGACCTTGAATTTGGGAGTTGTAGTTCACCTACATCCAGAGAGCACTGTGGACTCAAAGAATGATGGATCTGGATCAAACTCTACACGAATACTCAATATGCCCAAATGTGAACATTGGTGGAGTTTGGGGAAAATAGAATCTTGACATTTGGGAGTTGTAGTTGCTGGGATTTATAGTTCATCTACAATCAAAGAGCATTCTGAACCCTACCAACGACGGAATTGAACCAAACTTGTCACACAGAACTCCCATGACCAACAGAAAATACTTAAGGCCATCCAGTCCAACTCCCTTCATCGGGGCAAGAAAACATAATTAAAGCCCTCCTGACAAAGAGCCATCCAGCCATAGATATAGATAGGTATATATGATTCATACACACACAGATATAGTATCCTAGATTTGAAAGGAACCCCTAAAGAAGGACAATTATATGTTGCATGTTCCAGAGTAGGTCAACCAGGCACTTTCCACATCAACACTGACAAAGAAACAACAAGAAATCACAAACATAAAGAAATTACATAGATTAGAAACACTTTCTCATTACTTTATTTTCCAGATCACCAGACTGGGCCACAGCAACGCCTGGCAGGGGATAGCTAGTACATAATAATAATGATACATTTTTTTTGATTAGCCAGGGGGCACAACATAGTTGAAAAACACATATACAGGCAGTCCCCCAAGTTACGAACAAGATAGCTTATGCAGATTTGTTCTTAAGCAGAATTTGGATGTAAGTCGGAAGAGGAACACATCCTGTTTCAGCAGATTTTCTTTCCTTGCTGACTTAGGTCTGGAGGAAAATGAAAGAGAGAAACGTGTCAATTTGGTTTGCAATTGCACTCCAAACAGAGGCCTGCACACAGAACTGCCATAACCAATAGGAAATCCTGGAAGGGTTTGGTGGGCATTGACCTTGAGTTTGGGAATTGTAGTTCACCTATATTCAGAGAGGTTCTGGGTTTGAGCCTGCCACTTTTGAACTCTCGCTTGCTGGGGTGTTCCAGCGAGTGTCTCTGTAGATCTTAGAAAACTATTTCTTGATTTAAGTTGTTATCGTGCTGGCTGGTACTCAAACAGGGGATGAGCTGGAGATGTCTCTGCCTTGGTCATTTCACTATTGGCTGCTACTTCCCGGCGGATGTCAGGTGGTGCAATACGGGCTAAGCAGTGTAATTTCTCCAGTGGTGTAGGGCGCAGACACCCCGTGATAATGCGGCATGTCTCATTCAGAGCCACATCCACTTTTTTAGCATGGTGATTTGTGTTCCACACTGGGCATGCATACTCAGCAGCAGAGTAGCACAGCGCAAGGGCAGATGTCTTCACTGTGTCTGGTTGTGATCCCCAGGTTGTGCCAGTCAGCTTTCATATAATATTATTTCTAGCACCCACTTTTTGCTTGATATTCAGGCAGTGCTTCTTATAGATCAGAGCACGGTCCAGAGTGACTCCCAGGTATTTGGGTGCGCTGCAATGCTCCAGTGGGATTCCTTCCCAGGTCATCCTCAGAGGTCGGGATGCTTGTCTGTTCTTAAGGTGAAAGGCACATGTCTGTGTTTTAGATGGATTAGCGATCGGTTGGTTTTCCCTGTAATAGGCAGTAAGGACACCTAGAGCTTTGGAGAGCTTCTGTTTAACCATCTCAAATCTCCCTGCTTGAGCGGTGATGGCACGATCATCAGCATAGATGAAGCTCTCCATCCCTTCTGGCAGTGGCTGGTCATTTGTGTAGATGTTGAACATGGATGGAGCAAGCACACTCCCCTGAGGCAGGCCGTTCTTCTGTTTCCACCACCTGCTTCTCTGGCCCTGGAACTCAACAAAAAAGCTCTTGTTTCGTAGCAGGTTTCCTATGAGGTGGGTGAGGTGGTCGTCCTTTGTGATACTATACATTTTTCTTAGCAGGGGCTGAGTGGGTGTGATTTTCCCCAAGTCCTCACAGAGAATTTCCAAGGCCATTGCACTTTATTTGTAGTTTGGAGAAAACATTATAAGAAGAAAGAAAGACAAAGGCATTGAGAAAGACGAGTGTTTCCCAGAATAATTGGATGCTGGTCCCTTACCTTGGACTCTGGCGGACTGTAAGAAGGCAGACTCTGCAAGACAGGGAAATAAGATCCGTTCAAAGGCTTGGAAACTATAACTTACTTACTTACTTACTTACTTAATTACTTTACTTTACTTTGTTTCTACCCCACTCTATCTCATCCCGAGAAGGACTCAGAGAGGCTTCCATGTTTGGCAACGTTCAGTGCCACAGTTATACAAAAATCAAAACAATACAAAACCACAATTAATTATTAGAATCAAATGGATATATAAATTACAAATTAAAACAATTAAAACATGTAATACATTGTACCAATCCCGAAGTCATCGTTTACGTTGCTTCTTATGTCAGTTCTGTCAGTGGCATCGCCCACACAGCAAGGCAAGGAACACGATTATCACAGCCACCTTTAGGCTATAAACTACTTTATTTACAGTATACACAGTTGCACATCGTAAAACCGCTTCCTCTCCGTCCGGAAGCTACATAGCAAAACCCACAGAACACGCTGTTATCAGTACTAGTCCACACCTCCTGCATTCCAGAGTGACATATGGCGTACGACGCACGACACTGCATCCATTGCTCCATACACTTAGATTTATGACCTCTCTAGGAATGTCATTCCCTCCATGGTGTAGTTAACTCTTTCCACACAGGAAATACTCTCAGCACATAGCATTGCATTTTAAACATACATACTTTGAAATCTACATTACACATTTCAAACAGCTCCAGCAGGTTCCGTGAAAGTCTATTGCACTTAGTTATACTTCTTAGAATAATAGAATCCTAGAGTTGGACGAGACCTGGTGGGGCATTCAGTCCAACCCCATTTTGCCAAGAAGCAGGAGAATCACATTCAAAGCACCCCCGACAGATGGCCATCCAGCCTCTGTTTAAAAGCTTCCAAAGAAGGAGCCTCCACCACATTTGCCAAATGCCTGCTTCCACAATCAAGATTTTACTTTTTTAACAAAGACCAGAAAGGAGGGGGCTGATCTAATATCGCTAGGGAGAGAGTTCCACAGTCGAGGGGCCACCATCGAGAAGGCCGTGGGCTGGTCCATGAGCTCACGAAGAGTCAGAAACGACTGAACGAATGAACAACAACAAGGAAAGAGAGAGACACAAAATAATCAGTATTGAAAGAAGTTGCTTTGTAAACATTGTTTTCTCCCTTTGTCTTGGGAGGAGGGATCTCTTGTTTACATTGCACCCCCCCCCCTCTCTTTTCTGGGGAATGGTTAAACCCTTATTTATATTGCTGCAAACACTGCAAGGCTATAGAGAGGTATTTCCATTACAAAATTAAAACAATTAAAACATGTAATACATTGCACCAATCCCAAAGTCATCGTTTACATTGCTTCTTATATTGGTTCTGTCAGTGGCGTCGCCCGCACAGTAAGGCAAGGAACACAATCATCACAGCCACCTTTAGGCTATAAACTACTTTATTTACAGCTATACACAGTTGCACATTGTAAAACTGCTTCCTCTCCGTCCGGTAGCTACATAGCTAACACACAGAACACACTGTTATCAGTACTAGTCCACACCTCCTACATTCCAGAGTGACGTATTGAAAGAAGTTGCTTTGTAAACATTGTTTTCTCCCCTTTTCTTGAGAGGAAGGATCTCTTGTTTACATTGCAACCCCCCCCCCCCTCTTTTCTGGGGAATGGCTAAACCCTTATTTATATTGCTGCAAACACTGCAAGGCTATAGAGAGGTATTCCCATGATCTTGGGCTAAACTGGGATCAGACGAGGTTAAGCAAGGCTCACCAGGCTGTTGATTGCGGTTAGATGGAAATCCCCTAGGATGACCACGGCCTGGACCTCCTTCAGGGGCATCCGGTGCTTGTATTCCGTGTAGGCCTTGTCGTTGATGTAGACCTGCGTGAAAGAAATAGGCGAAGGTGTGTCCTTTTGTAAAGGGATGAGTCCACCTCCAGCTTGAAGGCCATCAACCCAGACCAAAACAAATACAACTCCAGGCAGCAAACAACCCAACGCCAGTTGACACCTGCCAAACAAGGCCAACTCACCTTATAGAACTTAGGGCAAGCCGTGATTTCCACCTCAATGGTGTCTCCTGGCAGGAAGGGCATGCCAAAGACCCGTTCCTCGGCGCCCCAGCACCCGTTCTTCATGGTGTTGAAAACCATCACCATGATATTGTCAATCCGGGGGTTGAAGTGGAAGGCGATGTTCGCCTCATCCTGACACACCAGGTTGATGGAGAACCTGCAACACGGAAAGACCTCAGGGCCAAAAGGAGAGAATGCCCTTCACCCCAACGGGGTGAAGGCTTCGTGGCAGTCCATCTATGTCCATCTCTCACACTCTCTCATTCTCTATCTATCTATCTATCTATCTATCTATCTATCTATCTATTTATCGATCTAATTTACTATCACCAGCTGTAATCTATCTATCTATCTATCTATCTATCTATCTATCTATCTATCTATCTATCATAACGCCTATTATAGCGTCTATCATAGACTCTATCATCTATGTCCATCTATCCATCGGTCGGTCGGTCGGTCTGTCTATCTATCTATCTATCTATCTATCTATCTATCTATCTATCATAACGCCTATTATAGCATCTATCATGGGCTCTATCATCTATGTCCGTCTATTCATCAGTCAGTCGGTCTATCTATCTATCTATCTATCTATCTATCTATCTATCTATCTATCTATCTATCATCACCTCTGTTATCTATTTATATCTTATGTTATCCTATATATCTATTATGGTATCTATCATAGGCTCTATCATCCATGTCCATCTATCCATCGGTCGGTCGGTCGGTCTATCTATCTATCTATCTATCTATCTATCTATCTATTAATCAATCACCACCTCTGTTATCTATTTATATCTTATGTTATGTTATCCTATATATCTATTATAGCATCTATCATAAGCTCTATCATCCATGTCCATCTATCCATTGGTCTATCTATCTATCTATCTATCTATTTATATCTTACGTTATGTTATCCTATATATCTATTATAGCATCTATCATTGGATCTATCATCCATGTCCATCTATCTATTGATCCATCGATCCATTGATCTATCTATCATATCACCTATTATAGCATCTATCATAGGTTCTATCATCTATGTCCATCTATCCATCAGTCGGTCTATCTATCTATCTATCTATCTATCTATCTATCTATCTATCTATCTATCTATCTATCTATCACCAGCTCTGCTATCTATTTATATCTTATGTTATGTTATCCTATATATCTATTATAGCATCTATCATAGGCTCTGTCATCTATGTCCATCTATCCATCGGTCGGTTGGTCTATCTATCTATCTATCTATCTATCTATCTATCTATCTATTTATCTATCAATCAATCACCACCTCTGTTATCGATTTATATCTTATGTTATGTTATCCTATATATTATAACGTCTATCACTGGCTCTATCATCCATGTCCATCTATCCGTCGGTCTATCTATCTATCAATCAATCAATCAATCTCCACCTCCGTTATCTATTTATATCTTATGTTATGTTATCCTATATATCTATTATAGTATCTATCATAGGCTCTATCATCCATGTCCATCTATCCATCGGTCTATCTATCTATCCATCTATCACCACCTCTGTTATCTATTTATATCTTATGTTATGTTATCTTATATATCTATCATAGCATCTATCATTGGTTCTATCATCTATGTCTATCTATCCATCGGTCTATCTATCTATCCATCTATCTATCACCAGCTCTGTTATCTATTTATATCTTATGTTATGTTATCCTATATATCTGTTATAGCATCTATCATAGGCTCTGTCAACTATGTCCATCTATCCATCGGTCGGTTGGTCTATCTATCTATCTATCTATCTATCTATCTATCTATCAATCACCACCTCTGTTATCGATTTATATCTTATGTTATGTTATCCTATATATTATAACGTCTATCACTGGCTCTATCATCCATGTCCATCTATCCGTCGGTCTATCTATCTATCTATCAATCAATCAATCTCCACCTCCGTTATCTATTTATATCTTATGTTATGTTATCCTATATATCCATTATAGTATCTACAGAGGCGGGTCTAGGTAATTTTCAACGGTAAGCAAACAGTATTTTGCCGCCCCCCCCCCAACCAATCATTGATATATATTTTCTGTTCGCCGTGGGAGCTCTGTGTGCCATATTTGGTTCAATTCCATCATTGGTGGAGTTCAGAATGCTTTTTGATTGTAGGTGAACTATACATCCCAATAACTACACTTGCCACACTTGCTCCCTTACCTGGCCTGCTTTGGGTCCGGAGGCGTGCCTGAAGACCCCGGCGTGTGCACCAAAAGTCACCTCTTCTCCTGACTTTCTCCTCAGCCATTGGGACCAAGAGAGAGAAAGAGAGAGAGAGAGAGAGAGAGAGGTGGAGATGCCCACCTTTCCTGAAGGTAGGCGCAAAAACAAAGGAGGGAGCGGAGGTGGGAGATACCTCCAGCCGGAGGGGCTCTCTCTCTCTCTCTCTCTCTTGGTCCCAATGGCTGAAGAGAAAGTCAGGAGAAGAGGTGACTTTTGGTGCGCACGCTGGGGTCTTCAGACACGCCTCCGGACCCGAAGCAGGCCAGGCGCGGCGGCTCTGCCCCTTGGCCCACCTGCGGATTGGGGAGAGGAGAGGAGGCGGGTGGAGCGCCGGGGGATCGGGAAAGGGAGCCAGTCATGGGGAAGGGATCGAACACAGAGAATGATTGAGCGCCGGTTCTACTCGCGCACCCGGTAGCTGGGTGGAGCAGGAACGAGAGGGGCTAGGCGAGGCTCAAGGGCCCGGCCCCTTTGGGAAGAGGATCGCCCGGCAGCGAGGCAAGAAAGCCGAGGCTCCCCCCGGACTGCTAGGGCTGTTGTGAGCTGAGGGGGCGCTCCTCAAGTGGCGGTCGAGGGGCATTTACAGAGGCACCTCTGCGCCCCTGGCAAAAAAAGTGTTCTGCGACCGCTTACTTCGCATAATGGATGAGCCGCCCCTGAGTATCTATCATAGGCTCTATCATCCATGTCCATCTATCCATCGGTCTATCTATCTATCCATCTATCTATCACCACCTCTGTTATCTATTTATATCTTATGTTATGTTATCCTATATATCTATTATAGCATCTATCATTGGCTCTATCATGTCTATCTATCCATCGGTCTATCTATCTATCCATCTATCTATCCCCAGCTCTGTTATCTATTTATATCTTATGTTAAGTTATCCTATATATCTATTATAGCATCTATCATAGGCTCTATCATCTATGCCCATCTATCCATCAGTCTGTCTATCTATCTATCTATCTATCATCTATCTATCACCACCTATGTTATCTATTTATATCTTATGTTATGTTATCCTATATATCTATTATAGCATCTATCACTGACTCTATCATCCATGTCTGTCTGTCCATCGGTTGGTCTATCTATCTATTCACTCTATCATCCATGTCTATCTATCTAGCTGTCGGTCTATCTATTGACAGTCCTGTTACATATCTATAACCTATCTATGTATTTATGTATATATGTATCTATCTATCTATTACAGCATCTACCATTGACTCTATCATCTATGTCAATCTATCCAGCTATCTATCACCAATTTTGTTATCAATCTATATTTCATTCTCTCTCTCTATCTTAATCATCTATGTCCGCCTGTCTGTCTGTCTGTCTATCTATCTATCTATCTATCTATCTATCTATCTATCTATCTATCTATCTGTAACTTGGGAAGTCTGACTTGCCCATGGTAGTCCAGACTCATGTTATACCCCAAATAGACTACTGCAACACACTTACTAAACCAAGGAGTGACCATCACTGAAAAAATAGATTTTGCCATTTGGGAGTTGTAGTTGCTGGGATTTATAGTTAACCTACAAACAAAGAGCACTCTGAACTCCACCAATGATGGAATTGAACCAAACTTGGCACACAGGACTCCTGTGACCAACAGAAAACACTAGAGGGGTTTGGTGGGCATTGACCTTGAGTTTTGGAATTGTAGTTCACCTACATCCAGAGACTCAAACAATAAAGGATCTGGACCAAACTTAGCACAAATACTCAATATGCCCAAATGTGAACACGGGTGGAATTTGGGGGAAATTGAGCTTGACATTTGGGAGTGCTAGTTGCTGGAATCAACCAACATTTGGGATGAAAGGCTAGGATTGCGAACCAACCTTTTTGCATTTGTAGGGATCCGTCCTTTGATGGTGATTATTGACCCTTCGCACAGATTGTCCAGGATCTCGAGACGGCAAACAAGGGGATAGCTCTGCTGAGACTGAAGGCAAAAGCCCCAAACAAAAGAGAAAAGAGGTCACTTTGAACTGGATTATACATCTACACTACTATATAATCCACTTCAAAGCAGATCATCTGGATTTGATATGGCTTGATAGAGCCTAGGGTCACATTGGCCTTTTCTGCTGCCGCATCACACTCTTAGCTCGTGTTCAGCCATATATTTTACCATTGCCAAGCTATGGATATATGACTTTCCTTCATCTAGATACCTATGGACGCAACCTAGGATCGCATTGGCCTTTTCTGCTGCCGCATCACACCCTTAGTTCATGTTCAGCCATATATTTTACTATTGCCCCAGGGTCGTAATGAAGTCTTGAGCTGCTCCTGTTAAAGAGGTCTCAGCATGGATGTTGAAGTCCCCCAGCACAACAAAGTGCTGGGAGACCAGAGCCAAATTGGAGACCACATCTGCTAGCTCAAGCAGGGAGACTGCTGAGTCGCGGGGTGGCCGGTACACCAGCAGAATCCCAAGCTATCACGGTTCCCCACCCTCAGGTGAACACAATCAAACCCAGA